TATTGGTCTTCTTGTAAGCAAAAGATTTGTTCAAAGGAGAAAATGCACACATTCATTTCAAGTTTTGTCACCTTTCCCTCCATTTTGAAATATATAGAGCTCTGCTTTCTGAGCCAAATGTTATTACAACATTCTGTATCAAACAGGAACATAGAAAGGTGAGTATTATGGGTGAGTTGTGAGGATATGTACTGTGGCCTCAGTCTGATCCCATAGTTGACCCCATAAAGTGACACGTGGTAATATGATCACCCCGCTATGTGGCTATTAATTGCTTAGACCCACAGCAGACCGGATAAATGGGACTGAACTATACAAAACATTAGAGAGAGCTATTGGCAATTTGTGAAAGAGAAGACGTGACAGATGGACACGGCAAATGGGTCTGATTTTCTAGTCTATGGTCCCATAAACAAATAAGATTGAAGGCCAGAAGAATTATGCTGTCTGAGTAATAACTATATTATAATGATAATTTATATTAAATTCTGTACTTCTCAGAGGGGTGGTAAATAAATTAGAGAAGAGGGAATACCTAGAGAGCAAATGTCACAATTCTCATAACATGAAAGACTGAAGATCTTTTAAAATATTTCCTTATAGAATTAAGAACTTAAAATTTATATAACATATATATATTTATAATAAAATGGTTTAATTAAAGTTTGAATGTAACTTATGTCATAACCTGTCTGTTGTGAGAAGGTTAAAAACACAACTTTAATTATATCATTTACAGCTTCACAATTCTGAAATATCAAGTTAGCATACAGATTAGTTTCTTCTTTTAACAGAAATATTAATGTATAACAATTCCTGATATACTCAGAGCAGTAAAAACTATTCTAAACTGAGTATTCATCAGAGATTAATGGTTTTATGAAATCAATCAGATTTTATTTTATGATTATATGTGCATATGTTTGATATAATGGGTTGAATAGGTCTATCAGCTTATGAATTTTAAATAATCCATAAAGAATACCATATTGTGAACCTATGGGTCTAATGTTATGGTAAATCTCTTCAGAAATGAAATGACACCACTATTTTTAAAAACATCTCAAATTGAACAAAGGAAATAATTCCAGTACTTAGAAACAATTCAAATATTTGTGTAATGAGACACTTGCAACAGACTTCAGCATTCACTGCTCAGCAAAGAATCAAAGAATGTTGCAGATAAAAAAGACTATTTGGAATCAATCCTAACTGATAATCCTTTGTCCATTCTAATTTGCTCATCACAGCATTTACAAAAAAGCAAATAAGAACCAATCTTTCTAACTTATTAACCACTATAGAAATTGTATGATAAGTGTAATAAAATATAAATTGAACAACAACACAAGACATGTGACATACAAAAAAAGAAATTTAAACTTATATTAAAATATGGATTACAAATTACATTTAGATGATAATTTTACTGACACACATCCTTGAAACTTGCATCATTAAGTCTCTCTACACAGCTAGGTAAAATTGACCGACCACGTGACCACTTTGTACTCGTTTAAAGTCATTATAACTTTGATATTACTAACTTTTAATATAGTAAATGTATCTTCACAAAATTTGGCAGACTTTCAGTAAACATGACAAGTCTTTCACATACAAAAAATCAGACTTTTTTATTGAAGTATTTTTAATAAACCCAAACAAGATTTGTCCGTGAATATATCAAGTCTTTATTTTACTAGTCTGAGTACAAAGTGATTTTCATGTTAAGATTAAAAATACCTTTCTTTATATCAAAAATGTCAAGTTTCATCTGCATAACCTCTAAAACCTCCTAAATACATTTCAAACATTTGTTCTCAGTAAAACTTTATACTTTATCTGTTATTTTCTTTACCCTAACTCTATACAAGGTTGGCATTTTGATCAACCTTGTAATCACAAAAAAAATCAAAATAAATCTAAATTACCTGTTTTTTCTTTCTAGAATGACTTCAAATTGTAACATGAAACTACATTTGTTTATTCAAAGTAGCTTTAAACTCATAACAGTATACATCTATTTGTACTTAAATTTTATTGTTTTTATTGCCCTTTGAACCATATCTAACTACTAGTCACACCATTAAAAGTTGTAAATCACTTGTGAAATGTGCAGCTCACATTACGCTATCGAATTACATTACTCATCAACTACTCCAAGCTTCTCATGTGTGTGTCTTGTGAATATTTATTTCTATATTATTATTATTTATTTTATCTAATCTAACCTTAACTAACCTAAAGAGTTTCCTATTCTTACAATTTAGTTACTTTTATAATAATAAATAAAGAATACACATGAAAAACACAAAATATGGTAATTACCTGGTCCTTTTTTTTGCTGTTGACAGTTGATGACACTTGAGCCTACTTTTTTTATAATAATGGCAGTAGTGCACTAAACAATTTTTAATTAATTAAATAATGCACCAAAAAACATAGAATAATAACATGCAAAAAGCAGACAATGTCACATAACTATCACAATTTTTATAGCATTCTAACTATGCTATAAGAACCATTACAAATTCATCTATACTAGTCGATGTGTTAACTGTGGGAATGAAGCTTGTACTTAAAAAGAAATTAACATTTTTGTACAGAAAACAAAGTAATATAACATGTTATTTGAGAGATGAAACTTTGGCTTTATATTGGTTAAAAATAACATAGTATTAAACATAAGAGAGAACTATTGACAAATCCTGAAAGAGAGGAGTGTGACAGGTGGGCGTGTGGCAAGAGGGGGGCTAATTTTCTATTTGATGGCTCTGTATCCAAACAAAATTGAAGGCTATGAAAATTATGCTTTATCTGAGGGATGACAATATTATAATACTTGAAAAGTTTTTTTGGTGTACAAAACTTGAAGATAGCTTTTATATGCATGGATATCTGTTAGCTGAGTTCTTGCACAGATCTTAAAATCTAACGTTG